CACAGTGCTTTCTGCTAGCAGCCCAAAAGAAAGAGAAGTTCTCCTTTGCAGTCCTCCAGAAAATGTCTTGGGTGAGCCTGATTCTCACTAGATTGGGGCCCATGCCGACTCCTGAACAAAACACTGAAATCTGAGTGATAAGACAAGCTGACTGGCTAGACCTAGATAGAGCCAGAGTTGGGATCAACCCAACTTAAGCTACCTGGATTGAGGAAGGGGGATGAATGGTTCTCCAAAGGAAATTCAGCAATCTCTCCACAGTAAGAGGAAATGGATGTTGGTAGAAAACAGATGACCTCTATGTCGTTGCTTTTGGCAAGAAAATCTATAAAATTTGTGAATATTGACTTCCTAAGTGGCCTAGAGGTGGTAGTGTTGACAACAAAGGGATGTGTTCGTTTACTGCCTTTAAAGGTTCCTTCCTCACTCACAGCCACATACTCTGAGAATTGCCCATCCACCCATAGTGGTGAACCTCTGCAGCCCTATTTGTTCTATGTGTTCCTATCCTCATGGTGCTACCTGATTGGAACAGGGAAGAGGACACTGGACCCAAAGACACTAGCTCATTGGCAGGTCAGTGGCCAGTTAAATTCTTCCTGGGGATCCACTGAGATAGTGGGGTGGGAGGGTGGAAACTCAAGAAAGCCCACAAAAATCCTCCTCCTGAGAGATCTGGAACTTTTCTGCTGCCCATTCTCTTGAGGTCTTATTTTTCTTTGGATTCTGTAAAAGATTCCTACCTGCATCCATTTAGTAATTTCTTGGTTTTGCTTACATTAGTTTGAGTCTGTTTCTGTTTCTTGAAACCAAATGAATTTACCAAGACTAATTCCAGTCACATAGTTCCAGTAGCACTGAAGAAAGATTGGTGTTGAATGTAAGTGATTTTAATGTTACCTGAACTACACTCCTGGTGGTTCCATCTCAGGGCTTATTACTGGCATTCACTCTACCAGAACTACTGGGCTCTAAGCTCTTCTTTCAGTGGCTTGCTGCTGAGCCTGTCACTGGTCCCAGAAAGCCTGAAATGCTTGGGTCTTACAAGGCTTCAATTTGAGTGAAGTTGTATCAGTTACCAATTGCCACAGCAATATTGCATGGCTGGGGCACCTGGAATCAGCTGAGGGGCTGGCTAGGCAATTCTGCTTATCTTGACTGGACTTGCTATCAGGCCCCAGAGAAAAATAACACAGGACTGATCACATGGATAGGAAGTATTAGGAAGATAGGAAACATTGTAATTTTAAATAGGGTAGGCAGGGAAGTTCTAACCAATAGAATAACAATAAAGCAAAGACTTGAAGAAGGCAAAGGATGATCGGCATGATTATCTGGCTGTGCGCACACACACGTGTGTGTGTGTGTGTGTGTGGAGTGGTTCTGGTAGAGTGAATGCCGGCAATGAACCCTGAGGCAGGAGTGTCCCAGTCATATTCAAGTCATATTCAAGGAAAAATATGGAGGCCAGTGAGAAAGAAGCAGAATGAGACAGAGTAAGAATGGTAGGAGATAAGAAAATGGTGATAATGTGATACAAGGTCACACAGGACCTTGTAGATGACCATAAGGACTTTTACTTTTACCCTGAATGAAGTAAGAAGCCATTGAATAGGTTTAAACAGAAGAGTTAACCACTGAATAGATTTAAACAGAAGAATTAGCCATTGAATAGGTTTAAACAGAAGAATTACATAATTTGACCCTATTAGGATCCCTTTGACCAGTGTATTGATAATAGGCTGTAGATAACAGACTCAGCAAACTATGGCAATGATCCAGGGAGATAATGATGGATTGGAGCATGGTGGTGGCCCCGGGGGTGGTAAGAAATTTTATAACTATGGACACTAATGCTTCCAGAGGAAAAGGAAGTTGCATACAGTCTAACGATGACAGAGGTGGTTCAGAGACAACACCCATTCAAAACCCAAGATAGTTCTTACAACTTTGATTCACTCTGACTTATGCAAGCATCTTGATAGAAGGCTGTTGCCCTGCGGCCTAGGAAATGAGGGGCTTCTCTCCATTACTGAATGGCCCTGGTCTCCAAGAACTTTTTGTCATCCCTCCTGTGGGACCAGGAGGGATAACGGTTGGTCTCACTCACAGCAAGATTCTCATGCAGCTTGTGGATAAATGTGCAGGCTTTCTAGAAGAACAGGCTTGGATGGAAATTCTGGCTCTGCCACTTACTGGTAAACAAATGGTGAACTTAACGTCTCTGAGACTGAGTCCCCTCTTCTCTAAAACTGGCATAATAATACCTCAGTAACCAGAGGCAGTGCTGGCATATGGAAAAACAAAAATCAGAATTGAATTAATGAAAGAAACCAGAACAAAAGAGTACATACCATGTGATGGCATTTATATGAATCTTAAGAACCAAGAAAACTAATCTGTTGTTATGTAACTCAGAACAGTGTTTACACGTGTGGGAATTGAGTAGAAAGGGGCTGAGGGAACTTTCCGGGACAAGGTTCTATATGATGGTTACATGAGTGGATTCATTTACAGGTGAATGGAAACAGGGTTAAGAAAAGCCTCTTAAAAATCTCAACCATTTTTTCCTAATGGTTACAGTTCAAGATGGTTACATGCATGTATACATCCATCATAACTCATTTAGTACTCTTAAACTCTACTCTTGAAATTTGCATATGTCACCGTATATAAATTTAATTGTGATTTTAAAAAATAATCCAATCCAGCCTAAATTCATTCTATCCTATAGTGATATAGATCTGATTACAAATTTTATCACTGATCTCAGCCAGCTTGCCATCATCTAAAAATATTCCTATTTTTATGGCACTGGTGATATGTGGTGATCACATTCATTACAGAAAAACAAGAAAGCACAGATGAGTAAAAATCACTTGTAAACCCACCCTGAGATATAACCTCTTTTTAAATATTTTAATATACATCCATTGTTCTATATATTGTCTTTTAGCTTACTTTTTATTTTTATTTTTATTTATTTTGATATCATTAATGTACAATTACTTGAACATTATGGTTACTAGACTCCCCCTATTATCCAGTCCCCCCCACATACCCCATTACAGTCACTGTCCATCAGCATAGTAAGATGCTACAGAATCATTACTTGTCTTCTATATACTTCCTTTCCCATGTCCCCGCCCCACTGCTACATTGTGTGTGCTAATCATAATGCCCATTTTTCCCCCTTATCCCTCCCTTCCCACCCATCTTCCCCAGTCCCTTTCCTTTTGGTAACTGTTAGTCCATTCTTGGGTTCTGTGAGGCTGCTGCTGTTTTGTTCCTTCAGTTTTTGCTTTGTTCTTATACGCCACAGATGAGTGAAATCATTTGATACTTGTCTTTCTCCGCTTGGCTTATTTCATGGAGCATAATACCCTCTAGCTCCATCTATGTTGTTGCAAATGGTACGATTTGTTTTCTTCATATGGCTGAATAGTATTGCATTGTTTATATGTAACACATCTTCTTTACCCATTCATCTACTGATGGACACTTAGGTTGCTTCCATATCTTGGCTATTGTAAATAGTGCTGCGATAAACATAGGGGTGCATTTGTTTTTTTCAAACTGGGCTCCTGCATTCTTAGGGTATATTCCTAGGAGTGAAATTCCTGGGTCAAATGGTATTTCTATTTTTAGTTTTTTGAGGAACCTCCATACTGCTTTCCACAATGGTTGAACTAGTTTACATTCCCACCAGCAGTGTAGGAGGGTTCCCCTTTCTCCACATCCTCGCCAACTTTTTTAGCTTACTTTTAACTGTTCTTTGTTGTGCCAATTAAACTGAGAAATTACACTGACAGGAAAAAAAAGACAACCTATAGTAGGAATTTATCCCAAGGAAATAATCAGAGTTGTACATGAAAATATTTTACAGAATAAGTTATATTCATGAAAAATTAGATAATCTTAAAATGTCAGTAGATTACATATAATATAAATATATATAAAATACAAATACATATAAACCATTTGGCTATTATTTGCCATATATATATGTACATATACACATACGTATATTTATGACATGTTTATTTAGTGAGGGTTGCAGATTATGGAAAGAATTCCATTTTCCCTTTATCCTTTGGATTCTTTACAGTGAGCATACATTGTTAGGAAAAAATCGGTAAAATGTTTAAAAGAGATTTTTCTTTAAATTGCGCTCCAAAATACAGAACCTGTTTCCATTCAGCTAGGTAAGTACTACCTGCATCCGTTTAAAATGTTTCGGCTAGGCAAGTACGGTCCTTGGACCAGCAACAGAGTCACTACCTGGGAAGTTAGAAATGCAGATTCCCAAGCCCCATTCCATTCCTAGTGAATTGGAATCTGTATTTTAACACATTCCGTGGGTGACCGCCTGCACGTTAAAGTCTAAGTAGCTCTGAGCGAGCCCCTCTCTGGGCCTGTCTCTTCTCTGTTCAAAGAGGCTGTGACCGAGATGTCTCTATGATCCCCCCTAGTTGCATTTTTCTAAGCTCATTTCTGTTATCTGCATGAGTCGCCATGAAAAGGCAGCTGAAGGGACCGCAGGATGAGCCGCCTGGTTGAACAGCCCCTGAGGCCGACACAGCCTGACGCAGATGGGCACGGAGGCGAACTTCCGCTCCAGGTCAGGAGGGCGCACAGGGCAAGAGGCGGCCTGGGGTCTCATGGTGCTGGGGTTAGGAGGGCGCCCACTGGACTCGGGTAAGAGACCACAGTCAGTAATAGGGCCAAAGGAGGCGCGGCGAGGTGCGTGGCGAAGGCGCCGCGCAGACCCAGGGGGAACGCAGGGAGCAGGGTGGCCTCCGGGCGGCAGCAGGCACTGCGCGGTGGCTCGGGATGGCACGGCGCGGGATGGGCTGTGGCGCAGAGCGGGGTCTGGCCGGCAGGGGGCGCTGCGGCATCGTGGCCGGCTCCCGGCTGTAGCACTGCCTCCTCCGCCTGTGGAATATACCTGGGTAGGTGGGGGCGGGCTCCAGGGGGTGGGGCTCCAGGGGCGGGACCCAGGCCCGGTCCACAAGAGCAGGTGGCCACTGCGGCTCGGGGATGCTCGCGCTGCACCGGGAACAGCACAGGTGGTGCCGGGATCGCGTACTCGCAAGCCCCAGACCCTGCGGAACTGAGGTGAGCCCAGTCGGATCGCGTCGCACCAGCTCGGGGTTTCAGGCACCGGAGCGGCCGCGGGGCTCCGTAGCTTCCCAGACGCCGTCCCAGCGGTCGGTGGCCGCGCAGGCATCAGCTCGGGGCTGCCTCCCTGTGCCCGGGATGCTGCGGCACCTTTCCGGGTCAACCCGGGTCCAGGTCTATGGCACCTGTCGCGGTATGGACGGCGGCGCAGCAGGGGCGAGAGGCGTTTCTGAGCTGCCCAGGAAAAGGGTCCGGGGCCACGCTCCGCCTTGTCTATGCCCAGTACCTGTTCAGTCCCCTTCGAGGCCTTGGTGAGACGCGTGGACTTGACCACAATCGCTCCTTTTACCCTCTGGAATGTTTTCTCTGGGGTGACTGAAGCCGGCTGGTTGGATTCTCTCCGGCTGCTTCAGCCGGGGCTGCCCTGGGGCAGACGTGGATCCGCAGCGCAGCGTCTGGTCGCCCTGAGCCGGTGGGCTGGGGCTGCACAGTCACACGGCCAAAGCCTGAGGCTTAGGTTCCTTCACTGGATATGGGGGGTAACCAAGGTCTGGGCGTGCGGGAGATCGCAGTACACAATCACTGTCATGAGCCAGGACCCTGGAATTTGAAAGAATCTTTTGAATTCTTCCTGTGTAACCTTGGGCAAGTCACCAAACCTCTCTGCAGCTCAATTTTCTCCTCTGTGAAATGGGGATAGTACTAGTAGCTCATGTCGTTACAGTGAGGGTTAAGTAGCTGCTGTGTAAAAACAGCTGAGTAGGATGCCTGGGAGTAGAATAAGGGATCAATAAATGATAGGGGCTATCTATTATTGCCCTTGTTACTGTTGTCATTATTATTATTTGAGGAGCAGCATAACTCCTAGTTAAAGGCACGGACTCCTGAGTTCATGGACTCCTGAGTTCAAAGTTCAACAACTTTCTAGTGTGACCTTAGACAAGCTCTGTAACCTTTCAGTGTCTCTGTTTCATTTGTATAATGGCGGAACTAATGGTGCCTGCCTTAGAAGAAGAATATTGTGGAAATGAAATGAGTTAATACCCGTAAAATGCTTAGGACAGTGAGTGCTGTGATTTCTTCCATAAAAGCAGCATGTTTAGTCAAGGAACTATAACCTCGCTTTGCTTTATAGTTGAAATACTGTTTGTGTGTACATTTACTGGTTTCTTGATAAGCAAGATGGGTTCCGTTCTTTTCACAATGTCAGTGGCTTCACTGACATTGATGGTTGACCTGTTAGGGTCAAGGTAGTCCTGGGGAAGGAGCTGATGGGGCAGAGGGACCCCAGGGGTTGTCTTCAGTGAGAAGAAGGAGGATTAGAGACAGGACCTTCCAGAATCACAGTTTATTTTGAACATTCACTGAGGAGAAAATCTTCCCTGGGTTGCTATTTTATTTGACAGGAAATTGAACCTGGATCTAGGCTTTTAAAACAAACCAACTCTCGTTAACTTTTTTTGCTTTGGGATTGTAATGAGAGAGGAGGTGGAGGCGGGCAATATTTTAAAGGATAAGACAAAATAATTCCATTCCTCTTGCCAAGAGGCTAATAGAATGATTTTGAGGATTGAGATGATTGTCCTCCATCTCAGCCAGATCATATGTGGTTGTCTGGGGGTGGGGGTGGTTGAGGGGTCTGGCTGCCTCTGGACATCTTATCTCCACCCCCACCACTCCATTTCCTTTGCATCAGAAACCTGAAGCCCACTAGCTCCATAAACTTGAAAGCCTGCCAGTTTTGCCACATCTCCATTTTGAACAATATCCTCTGGGTTCAGGGTGGAGAAAAAGTAACTCTTCAAGTACAAAATCCTGCCTGAAGAACTTGATGGGGCATCTAAAGTCTTTGTCCCAGACACAGGCCCTTTGGAGGCATGGAGACCACCTAGTATATCCAACTCCAAATTAGAGTATGTCCTAATTGTCCTCTGTCACCTACATGAGGCAGAGGGACAGAGTTTCCTTATAGCCCTCTCCCCTAGTACTGGTGCTCATAATACCAGCGTTGGGAAGAGTCACATTTACTATGCAAAATTGGAAATTAAGTAGTTCCAGATCCCTTCAATTTCCACCTTCCTTTAGTCCCAGCTGCTGTTAATTAACTGCCTTGGGAGGCGGATAGCACCTAGCATAATGCCAGGCCTCTCAGAGACATATATTATGGTGGTGTGAAGGCTGCAAGGCTCCAGTCCAGCTCCTCCACTTACTAGCTATGTGATCTTCCAAAAGTCACTCCACCTCTCTGAGCTCATTTTCCTCCTCTGCAACATGGAGATAATAATAGTATGCATACTTCAAAGGGCTTGTTGAAACATGAAATTAAAAAATATATATATATATATATATATACACACACACACACACACACACAGACTGTATATAAGATTCTATAGAATAGCCATGAGATGACCCTATATAACTATGTATATGTACACATACATATTAGTTTATTTCTAAAAAGAATGTTGTTTCACACTGTAAAGTTTTTGTGACTGAAATGCATCATGTACATTGATGAATGTGGTCATTTGCTTTCCAACACTTTCCTCCAAACAAAGCTGATATGAAATCAAATTGAATTCCCAAATCAGTGGCATCTTGGAATCAAGGAAATATGGCACAGTGCCTGGCAAATATTAAGTGGCAAATAGTTGTGGGCTATTGTTATACTAGGTACTCTAGAGGCACTAAGGGCTTGGCTGCAAAGAGAGTGAAACAGAAACTCTCCACTTGCAATAAAGCAACAGGGAAAGGACTGAGCGATATGGCTGGGAATGGACAGAATATGATCTAAAGTGGGTGCTGGGAAATTCTCTTGGCAGCTTTTACCTGTCAGAAACAACTCGCAGGGTGCTTGCTCTATGCCAGGCACTGAGTGAGGCACCAGGGGGCAGGATGGCATAGGAATGCTGCCCTCAGGGGGGCAGGCTCATGGAAGCATGAGACAAAGGTGGCAAAATTCAAATCACTGCTGCGTGTAATAGAGGTGCAGAGGCTGATTAGGGTTGCTCAGAGGGCTCCTACTCCAGGCGCCCAGGGGGCAGGTACTGCAAACCTGTCCGGTGATCCACAGATTAAACCTCACCCAGCCCCCCCCCACACTCGGCCCCCATGAGGAGGCAGCTCTTTAGCAGCTGTGGTGGCCTCAAAACGTCCTGGAGAAGGGGCTAAGACCTCAGAATGAGGACTCTGTAGGCCACAGAAGAAAAGAGGAAGGCAGCCTCTGAGGGCGCGTGGGTTGGTGTTTCCCAGCGCCTGGCCTCCAGGAACGCACCAGCAGACTGGAACGTGTGAGCTCACTTGCTTTTCTTCTCTACCCTTCCAGGTGTCTGCCCCTCAAAGTTGCACCCCTGCTATGGCTCCTGGAGAGAAAATCAAAGCCAAAATCAAGAAGAATCTGCCTGTGACGGGGCCTCAGGCACCTACCATTAAGGAGCTGATGCGGTGGTACTGCCTTAACACCAATACCCATGGCTGCCGCCGCATTGTGGTATCCCGGGGACGCCTCCGGCGCCTACTCTGGATTCTGTTTACACTGACGGCCGTGGCCCTTATTTTCTGGCAGTGTGCCCTCCTCGTTTTCTCCTTCTATACCGTCTCTGTCTCCATCAAAATCCATTTCCAGAAGCTGGATTTTCCTGCTGTCACCATCTGCAACATCAACCCTTACAAGTAAGACACAGGAGCAGGGATGGAGAATGGGTGTCATGCCCTTCCAGATGTCAGAGCCCCTCCCAAAGGTGACACACTCCAGCCTGCAGACATGCTTCTTAGAAATTTGAATTCACTGCCAACATTGGAAAATGCCCTCTTTCGGTTCCTAAATCTTTACCAAGTTTTAAGTTCATCAGCTACTTCTGAGGATAGGCTAGCTCAGAGAAGGCAGAGGGGAGGCTGCAAGGATCAGTTTGGCTTGGAGTTTGGGCCTAGAATGAGCTAGCACCCTCCCACCCTGGCCACACACACACACACACACACATTAAGCCAAGCTTAACCACTTAACCCTGAGCCCCACCAGGCTCACACCCTCACTTTCCTCAGAATTTGAGCTGCAGGCTGACTCAGAAGTGATGCCCAGGTGACCTCTGGAAGCTTCTCAGCTGCCCCAAATCCTCATCTGAGTGAACCTAACCCCAATAATTGAGATCACCACACGGGGCAGGATCGGCACTGGATACTGCCCTGTAGTCTGCCACAGGACCTGTTCTAAATGGGTCATCAGAATCCTTCTTGGGATTATTGGAAACTGATCTGGGAGGCAGATCAGAACCTAGCAGAATTTGGCAGAGCAGGTGTCGGGGTGGGGAGACGGGAAGAGCAGGGGAGGAAGATTATCAAAGGGAACTAACTGGTCCAGAGTTACAAAATCAGAATCCAGTCTAATACTCACCTCCACCTCAAAGTCTTTCTTTTTTTTCCCTCCCTCCCTCCCTTCCTCCCTTCCATCCATTATTTGTTCCATAATCACTTACTCATCATCTACAGTTTCACATATTGTCACACACCATGCTAGGTTCTCAAGAATAGAGCTGAACTTACACAGTCTTTGTCCTGGCGGAGCTGATGTTGTAAGGAAAGCGTGAAATATTAACAAATATAATTACACTAATGAATTAGTAATAGTGACTGTTTCATTACACACACATGCATATATATATATAAAATCATTGAATCTTCCCAATAGCCCCATTTTACAAATGGGAAAACTGAGATACAGAGAGGCAGAATGACTTGTCCAAGATCACATGTCCAGACCCAGGATGGGGAACTGGGGCCTAGGTAGTCTGGTTCTGGAGTTTGTACATTCAGTCACTCTGCCATGTAGCCTGTGTACAGAGCAAGGGGGAGAGAGATGAGACAGGCAGAGTTAGGAGAGGTGCTGGGACTTTTTGATATGGTAAAGATGAAAAGATAGTGTTGATATGCTCCATGTGGTCAACTCTGTATTATTCTTCTGTGTTGTTGGGGATTGTCAAGGTCATAGTAGTACCTCCTCCATCCCAGCACTGGTTAGAGGAAAATCAGCAGGCAGGGACACGTGTGCTGGGTGGAGATGGAGCCTGTCCCCTGGGCAGACTCCCAGCAGCAGTTATTGTCCTCACTGTGGCTCGTTTATGGGAGGCACCTGACAGTCACCACTCCAGAATGCTGGTTGGAGCAAACTCATCCCCACACCCTGAGAGCTCGAAGACAGAGTGGTGGCAGAGGGGAAGCCACAGGAAGTCACACGAGAGTCACATGGAAGCCTCTCCCCATTTGTTTGAGCCAGTGGTCACTGTGAATGGGGCAAATTATAAAAGGCCTGGCTTCCTTGGCCAAGGGGGCAGGAGAGCTGGGCACAAGGCTGATGCATGTTGCCAGAAAGCTGCACGGAGAAATGCCAACATTCTGCCAGAGCTGCTTCTCCTCTCCTGACTCCTCCTTCCCGCCTTGGCAGGTACAGCGCCGTGCGAGACCTTCTAGCTGACTTGGAACAGGAGACCAGAGCAGCCTTGAAGACCCTGTATGGCTTCTCAGAGATTAATTCTCGGAAACGCCGAGAGGCAGAATTCAGGAGTTTGGCCTCGGGGGGCACACAGCCCAAATTCCCCAACCTGGTCCCCCTGTTGGCCTTCAATCAAGATGAGGTCAGCAAAGCCAGGGACTTCTTCACAGGGCGGAAGCGGAAAGTCAGCGGGAGCATCATTCACAAGGCATCGGATGTCGTGCATGTCCACGAGTCCAAGGAGGTGGTGGGATTCCAACTGGTGAGATGCACATCCTCAGAGTTGTGGGGCAGGAGATGGGCTGGAGATAGTCAGTCCAGGGAGGTTTCTCCTTTGCCATCAGCCCCTACAGTCCTGCTGGAAGAAATACACCCAGTTAGAGTTAATCTGCTGCAAGCAGCTGATACTGACACAGGCAATCTTCAGTAGAAAAAAATGGCTTAGAATGGGACCAGGAGCTCATGGAGGGCTCTCAAAGACAGAAATTAAGGAAGATCCAGGAATCTAGGTAGCAAGAAATAGGGAAAACCATTTCAGATACTGCTGCTGTATTAAATAAGCTTCAATTATTTTCAGTCTTTTTGCTCACCCATAAAGACAGATTCAAATCCCTTCTTGGGACTATGTGTCTGGCCAAGTTTGGGTCACCTGATGGCAATCAGAGGGTGGAGCATTGTGGGACAGTCTCACCAGACTGTATCCAAAGGGGGCAAAATTGAAATGCAGATGCCAGAAGGGAGAAAATAGATGAACAGCAGAAACACCCAAATTTCCCTGTGGTCCTTGCCTTCTTGAGGTGTGATAGCCTGACTTCTTATCTCTCCTTCTTGGTCCCATGTGAGAGGCTCTGAAGAAGGAGCCATTCACCAAAACTGATTTCCATTAGCTCCTGGGGCAAACTCAATCACTCTCCCTTCTCCAGGCCTCAGCCCCCACTGCAAGACAAGAGCTACTTTTTTACCTTATAGCCTTCATTGCTGACTGTGAGACCTCAGGAAACCAGTCACAAATACTGAAAAATATAGCCCTTTCTGATAATCACTAAGACATTTCAAAGTCATTGTTGGTCCTTTCATAAGATACCCAAAAGGTTCTCCTTAATACCAAAATCAATTCTTTGATTTGTCTTTAGGAGAGCTTCCAATCTGTGTGACAAGAACATCTAGAAAGCACCACAAGTTCCCTACAAAGGTCTCATTATATATATATATTCTTTTTCATTATTCTATATTTTAACTGTTGATCCTCCCAACTACTGTATGCGGTTGGGAAAGATGGCATTTTAGTCAACATTTTGTAGGTAATAAAGGAGACATGACGTCTTGCCCAAGATGCCACAGGAAGTCTGGCTGGGGTCTGGGCTAACACCCCCAGTTTCTGACTGCTGACCCAACTGGAAGTGGTAAGAGTTGTGCAGGAACTCAGTAGCAATAATCAGCCAAAGCTTGGATGTCTGGGGCCCTCAAGGAAGCTGTTTTTGCTTCTCTCCTGGTAAGCAGTAGTAGGGAATCATGAAAGGGAGACTGTTTTTCCTCGCTCAGCACCTTGCTGGTCCTTGAGGCTTGAGGAATATCCCTAGAAGTGAGAGGAAGCCCATCCTTGCCCCTGAGTATCTGGTCTAGAGTCTCAGCTCCTCAGCCTTACAGTCCTTCTGAAGGCCAGTGGCAGTGCTGATAGCTTCAGCCTTGTACCTCCTCTTATCCACAGTGTTCCAATGACACGTCCGAGTGTGCCGTCTACACTTTCAGCTCAGGGGTCAATGCCATCCAGGAGTGGTACAAGCTGCACTACATGAACATCATGGCACAAGTGCCTCTGGGGAAGAAAATCAACATGAGCTACTCTGCCGAGGAGCTACTGGTGACCTGCTCCTTTGATGGGAGGTCCTGTGATGCCAGGTCAGGAGGGGAAGGCTGCTGTCTCAGCTCTGAGGACTGGCACTCTGAGCACTGGGCCCCTTGCATGCACCTGCAGCTCAGCTCTAGGTCTTTGGAGTGAAAGGTGCTCGTCTCCCTGACCCTGCCCTTTGGGAAACAGCTTACATGAGAGCTAAGCTCTAGAGTCAGTGAGAAAGGTGGTGATGGTGTAGAGTCAAAATATTACACTTAAAAACAGAGTAGTTGATATATATGTATGTATATGTACGTGTAACCTTGTGTATTACTGTCATGCACATTGATGTTGGAGAACCACCAATCTAGTGCAGAGGAAGAAAGGAAGGACAGGAGGGTAGGAAGGAAGGAGGAGGAAAGGTCTGCCTGCAGACATGTGAGCTTTCAAAGCTTTCTGCCTTTAAGGTACCATCAGATCCATGTTGGTAACTGAGCATTCTAGAGTGTTTCTTCCTAGCTGGAGAGCTTACTTCCTTCTTTTTAGATATTAAGTTTTACTATGTATATAGATATATTAGTCCTTGCAAAAACTGATTGATTGGAATCAAGTCTCCCTAAGGGCTGAGTTATAAGTCAGTGTAAGGGCATATATGCTGGGATTCCTTCTCTGGGGACCATATCCTAGGAATTAGAATGGAAAAATGTCAAGTGCTGGCTGAGAAATTCAGATGTAGAGGAACTTGGGGCAGATATCTTGGCACAAGGAATGCCAGGTTAGGATGGACACAGAGGTGGGAAGTATAAGGGGGAGAACAGTAAGCAAAGGGCAGTTCTACATCAGTGCGTATCCGGCTGGGTGGGGGCCTTGTGTGTCATTTATCAGAAGAAAGGTGAGGAAAGTGAGTCATGTCCATCATTCACTGGCCTTTAAAGATTTTTGTCCCCATTTACACTGCCCCTCCAGACTTCAGCTCAGATGCCTACCCCTTCTGACCCATATAGTCTTTCTCCACAGGAACTTCACGCTTTTCCACCACCCAATGCATGGGAATTGCTACACATTCAACAATAGAGAAAATGAGACTATCCTCAGCACCTCCATGGGGGGCAGTGAATATGGTAAGGAACTCTGCACCAAGGAGGTCCTGGGGCCCTCTAACAGTGAGCATGCTGGCAGCAGGACGTCCAGAAATGCAGGATCTCCCCACCTGGCCAGAAACCAGGCACACAATTTTACCTTTTGCAGTGTTTCCACCAGCATCCATGTTGGTTCCTTCTTTCCTTCCTATCAGCGCATTTTCCTCTTTGACATCTTCTATTTACTTTTGAAAGAGCAACAAGGGCACCCTGGGGGTTCCTTCTTGTAAGAAACCACTCTGGTTTATGGGGTGAGCAATGCGGGGCAGTCAGCTTCCAGAGACCCTTAAACCCAGATGTGCTGAACGGGGTGATCTGGGAGGCAAACACACCTTTATTTTAAGATTACAGATTCTGGAGCCAGAACCCCAGTTCTGCCACTTACTATGTGATCCTGTACAAGTTATTGCACTTCATCTATAAAGTGGGAATAATACTAGTTTGGCCAATATAAAGTTCCTGATTGAGAGGACTTAAAATATGTGAAGCACTTAGCGTAAGACCCAGCACACTCCATATTAGTGTGCTTGAACTGCCATAACAAAATATGCATTGACTGGGTGACTTAAACAACAGACATTTATTTTCTCTCAGTCCTGGAGGCCAGAAGCCCATGACCAAGGTGTGGGCACATTTGGTTTTTGACGAGGCCTCTCTTCCTGGCTTGCAGACGGCTGCCTTCCCACCATGTCCTCTGCCTTCCTCTGTGGCATGCAGAGAGAAGGAGCTCTGTTGTCTCCTCTTCTTATAAGGATACTAGTCCTATGGGATTAGGGTCCACCTTTATGACCTTGTTTAACTTTAGTCACCTCCCTAAAGGCCTGTCTTCAAATACAGCCACATTGGGGAGCTAGGGCTTCAACATATGAATTTGGGGAGCAGCCAGCACAACACCATTAGCCCTTAGCATACATGAAGCACACACAAGTGCTAGCTATGGTAGTCATTGCTACTGTAGTACCGTTACTGGCACTGCTGCTGTTCTGCCTTTCTGCTGCTGGCCTCCATAATACCATTACTGCCTCCGGTGCTACGATTATTAGTGCTTTCCCACTACAACTTTTGCAGTGAAGGCAGGAACTCAACAGACTGGCCTGCCTTACTCATGGAAGCAAACTGAAAGTGACTGGATAGACAGATAGGCTCCCCCAAGGAAAGGCAAGGTCTTGCTGTAAAGGAGAACCCCACTTGGGCTCCAAGCTTTTGTTACAGTACAGCCTGTGTTCTTACCAAGTCTGCAAGAAACCACAGCTCAGGGTGCATATTTCAGTGGGAAGAAGTAGGTTGGGACTTGGGAGTGAAGACTTGCACAGTCCTGGCTCTGCTACACATGGGCTGTGTGACCTTGAGCATATCACTTCCCTGCTCTGGCCTTCAGTCCCTTTATTTACAAATGGAATAAGTCAGAATTACTCTCAGAGTTATCTTCTTTCAATCTATATAGGCCCTGCTCATTTGATCATTCACTGAAGTAGCCACTTATTGAGAGGCTGGCTGGCCAGACCTTCTTTCAGGTGCCAGGGACACAGTGGTGAGCAAAACAGGTGCCCTTTCTGCTTTCAGGGAACTTGCGTTTTGGTGGACAGAGACAGATAACAAATAAGTGAAAAAGCCCATGATCATTATCTGGTTATAAATCCTAAAGAGGGCTCTGTGGAAAGGAGGCCGCAAAGGTTGGGATTGGGATGAGGGTTTTATTCAGATAAGGGGACCCAGAAAGGCCTCTCTGGGAGGAGGGTCATTTCAGGATGAGAGCATCCAAGTCAAGGGCCACAGAAGAACCTTCTGGGCACAAATAACTACAAAGACACTGAGAAGGAAATGAAGTAAATGCTCTGTAGAAACAGGCAGAAGACCAGTGAGCTCCTCGAGGAAGGGAAAGAGTGGGTGAGGAGGAAGGGTAGGGAGGGGCTGCATCACTAGAGCCTTGACAGCCAGTCCAGCTTATGGATTTTTGTTTGTGGCATTCCTGTGTAGCCAGTGAGATGCCACTAGAGGGTTTCTGGCAAGAAGGTGCCCAGATCGGCTTGCCCATTTTAATAGGTCCCTCCGGCTCCTGGGTGCAGAATGGACCGCGAGTGGGAGCAGGGACAGACGTTAGGCTGTCAGTGCTTCTCCCAGAGGGCAGAAGCCACCATGGTGATGCAGTCCTTCTCGACGCTCAGCAGAACTCCCAGCTCAAAGCATCACACAAAGAGTCATGTCTTGGGCAGCATAGCAGTTCCCTTATGCTAAGCAGAACTGTGGCAAGTAATGTTTTTGAAACTGTATTCTGTGATAAGCCCTGGGGACATAGCAGTGAGCAAGTCATATGCAACTCCTCCCTTCGTGGAGCTTCCAGCCTAACCCCTGCCCACCTTTCACTGCTTGGAAATGCCTGGGTCTTGGTTTTGAGACTCCCAATGCAGTGGGAGAGGTAGGCTACCACCAGGGGATGTTTTCCTAACCTTTGACCACAGCAGGCTGCCTTCTCCTCCCAGGGCTGCAGGTCATCTTGTACATAAATGAAGAAGAGTATAACCCCTTCCTGGTGTCCTCGACTGGGGCTAAGGTGATTGTCCATCGGCAGGATGAATACCCCTTCATCGAGGATGTGGGAACAGAGATTGAGACAGCAATGGCCACCTCCATAGGGATGCACCTGGTAAGAGAACATGCTAATTTTTGTGGGCTTGGCAAGAAGAACAGATTTATTTCAAGGATAACCAGTGAGGTGTAGCTTATGGAAAAGGGTGTTGGTTTCAAAAGGAAGAATGGTCCTATATTTTCCAATGGTCATTCCAGTATCTTCTGCATGGATGAACAAGGACAAGATGCCCTTTGGGGAAAGAATTGAAAGAATCTTCCTTGTTCCAAAGGGAGACAGTAACATTTATGGAACCTGTGCTGGAAGCAAGGCATCGACACTCACTATGTATTTGTCAGTAATATAAATAGAACTGATTAACAGCTTTCTTTCTGGGCCACCTAGAGGTCTATGAAGCATGTAAACCACTATTTAAAGACTAATGGAAAATCACTGGGCCATCAAAGCTCTGTGTAGCAAATCACACTTCCATCAATTTCACCTCATTTACCAAGAACCTGCTTCTCCTTCAAGTCTTTGACCTTCTATGACCTTACTGGGTGCTGAGAACACTCATACCTATCAACTGAAGTACATCTGGGCTGCAGGTTCCAGTCCCAGAGTCACTAAGCCCAGTGGGAACAGAGGGCAAGGTGACGAGTGTACTCTGATGCCTTGACCACTCCACTGCTTATGCAGTTTTCCTGTTTGCAGGCCTGGTGTCTTTTTATGCCAGCCTCATTTTCTCTCTCTCTTTTCCACCCTCCTTCTCTGTCTCTTGCTTCTCTAATAGAATGACTAGTAAGAATTTACTTAAAGGGAATATATGCACAAAATGAAAAGCCATATCAAGGAGGACACCATGTAGATGTGTCTCTCTTACATCCCTGACTTCCAGTCCCTTCCTTCCTTCCTCCCCACGGAGACCATCACTGTTGCTTCTGTGTCTTGGCAGGGATGTTATAGTTTTCTTTGAATACATGTCTAGGTAGAAGTTATTGAAGCAATTCTCTGTCAATAGACATTAGGTTGTTTCTAGGCCCAACTAAAAGCAATGGTGCCATGTGATGTGTATTTGATTATTTCCTCCAAGTATGGCAAACAGTATGTGTATTTGCCAAACTGCCCTCCAGTGAGGTGGTAGCCATTTGCAACCTCACCAGCAGTATGATAGCAATTCCCTCATGCTCTCTCCAACATGGGTATTATCCAATTTTAATCTTTGCTAATCTGTCAGGAGAAAAATGATATCTGTGATCATTTTAATTGAGCATCCTTCTTAGTGGTATTTTTTCACCTATTTGTGGGGGGATTATCTCCTTGTGGACTGTCTATGCACACCTTTGTTTATATCCAACCTTAATGTCCGAAATTAAACTTCTTAGTCTTTCTCCCTCACACACTTGTCCTCCAGAGCAGTGGTTTCCAAACCTGGCATCAGACTCAGATCTACTGCATCAGCATCTCTGAAAGCTGAGTCCAGGAATCTGTATTTTTACCAGACTCTACTGGTTATTCCAAGAGACAGCAAACTCAAGAACCTCGACTCTGGGAAACTGAGTAGTTCAGAATGAGAGAAGCAAAGTGTGTCTTCCTAAGTAAAAGTAAAGCTTTAGTATGGCCATAAATGATGGTTTCATTTATAAAGTGATACAGTAGGCATTGCAACTTGCATATCCACCCATTATTTATCCATGTGACAAGCATGTCCTGAGCTCCTATGTGCTCGTTACTGGAACCGCATTAATATAGAAGACACTGCCCTGTCCTGTTGCAACTTAGAGTCCAGCAGAAAGGATCGATTAGAAGGAAAAAATTACACAAATGATGGATTATAATCATCATCTGTGCTAAGGAGAAGTGCAGAGTGCATGAGAGCCTACCTGACCTAGGGCTTTGTTTACTGGGGGGAAGTAAGGATTTTAAGAAGTACTTTCCTGAGAAAGTGATAATGAAACAGACAGCAGAGATGATGAGCTGGAATGGAGGTATTCCAGAGGAAATCTGCGGCTTCAGTGCCTCATGGTACTCCATCAACGGGTGGCCCTGGGTAAGAGAAACCATCAGGATGGTTGTCTGGAACCCGGGAACCCTTGGAAGGCATGCCATTTAGGGGCTTTGTGCTAATGTGGGAGGTATGTTCCAACACAAGAAGTCCTGTATGCCATCTTGCACTGTGCGAAAGCTGATGGCCATGAAAAAAATATTGAGCCTCAACCTGCTCAAACTGTGGCTTGAAAAGGCTTTGGTGTACCACTGAAGGAGCTGGGTCACTGATTCCTCTGTTCACAGGCAGACTGTGAAACTCCCAGATCAAACTATTGAATCTTTTGATTCAACATTTCCTGTGGAATTGTATCTGTGCCCTGAAGCACCTGGGACATCCTTGCCTTATCATTTTGCTCTCTTGCTCGGGTCTGCCTCTAACAGTGTCTGCAGATGTGGAGGAGAGTCACAAGAGCTTGGAAAAGTGTAAGAACCGAGGAATTCTGCCTTCTGGTTTTCTTCTCTGAGCTTAGAAATGCCTACCACATGGTTAAGCAAATGTTTTCTTTACCAGTGATGGGTAAACAAAGACATGGGTGGGTTTTCTGCTACACCTAATTTAAGATGAACAAAATCAAAGTCACAGAGCAGGGCCAGTCAGCTCTAGTTCTGATTTATGAGCATTTAGAACAACAGAGAGTAATCCTAGGGATTACTAAGAGGTCAGCAGGGGGTCACTAAGAATAAGTCCAAACAAACTAGATTGACTTCCTTTCTTATTTGTATTTATTTATTTATTTATTTATTTATTTATTTGCTTGTTTGTTCATTTATATATTTTTTATTTTGATGGGCATGGTAAGCTGGTAGACTCAGTCAGTTGGTTAGGCAACAATCTTGTTGTTTAATGAATCTTCATTCATTGAGAGATGATGTGTCCAAAACGCTGGACATTCCAAGATGCGTACAACAGAGCACCTACTTTCAAAGATCTCATCTTTAAGAGAAGACAACACACCTTTGCAATACAGTTCTGTGAGAATAGGGGCCTTCTCTGTCTTATTCCCAGGCTTAGTTCTTAGAACATAGTAGATGGATGCATGGAAATAAGCCCAGACAGAAGCTGTTGGTGAAGGCTTTTTAGATGATGGACTCTTGAAGGACAATTGTCAGGCAAATAGTATCAGGAAGTCCAAAGTCATAGCAATTACAGAGGGGTCACGGAAGGATTTTTAGCCATGTAGTGAAATTTCGAAAAATTGCTTTGGCTGAAGTATAATTAAGATACTGGAGTCAGCACATTTACAGTAATTCTAGGAAGAATGATAAGGACCTTAGCTGAGGCAGTGGCTGTCAGGTAAGCAGGAGTAAATGGATTTGAAGGGTATTCAGCCTAAAAGCAGCAGGGCTTGACAACCGAGGTCAGTGAGGAAGGGCCAGGAGAAATAAAGTTGATATCTAGGTTCTAACTCAGGCAGGGGGGTAGATGGAGGTGCCAGTCTCAGGATTAGGGTATACAAGAGGAGAGATAAGTTTAGGGGAAAAGATGACCACTTGAACTTGAGACATACCCAGGCTCTTGTGCCTTTGGGAAGTCAAGGTGAAAATGTCCAGTGAGTAGATGCTATGAGTATGGAGCTCAGAAAATTCAGGGTTGAGAAGGGGGCCACCTAGTGTAATTCTAGAGTTGGGAATAAATACCATCACCTAAGACCTGAGACAGAATGCAAATATTTAAGGGCTGATTAGAAAGAAAATGGAGACACAGAGGTAGAAAAGTGGGAGTGGAAGCCGGAAAGAATCAGTGTCAAATAAATCAAGGTAGAGAGCATCTAAAAGAAGGTGTGAGCCCAAGTGCCAAACACAGCTGAGACGTCAAGCAGGATAAAGGGCAAAAGGTCTCTGGGTTTGGCAGCCAAGAGGTTACTGGTATCACTGCCAGAACAGTTTTCAGTGGAAGGAGTGGAACAGAAACCAAAGCACAGTGGGTTAGATCGTGAATGGGAGATGAGGAAGCAGGCAAGAATGGCAACTCACTAAGGTAGGGTATGAAGCCAGGCCCTGGAGAAGAGGGACATTTCACTGCCATTGCAAAGCCTACTGTACAATTTTATCTTAAAGCACATGCATACTTTTTTTCACAAGCTTATGTGTAATAGGGATTAAGCGCTCAAACTCTGGAGCCAGACAGTGGAGGTTCAGACCCCAGCTTTGTAGGTTCAGACCCCAGCTTTGTACTTTGGTTGTATAATCGCAGTGTCTCAGCTACCACATCTGTAAAATGGGTATGATAATAATAATTACTTAATAGTTACAGTTACTTGTAATAGTTACTTCATAGGCCAGTGAGAATTCAGTGAGTTAATTCATGTGAAGCAGATGGAACAGCACTTAGCATGTAGTAAGTGCTCCAAAAGTATTGGCTGTTACTATACTTTTATTTTTTTAAGAAAAGAAATGTGAAGGGAAGGAAAAATAGGTTAGAAGCAAAAAGAGGAGTCTGAAATATTTGTCTTGTCCTTTTTGACACCCCCTTCCTTTATGAGTGAGACATCAATCTCTTCCTCATTTATATAGAGAGTACTAATGATTTGCCATATGTGTTGCAAACATCTTTCCCAGTTTGTGTTTTCCTTGTAGTTTTCTTTATGCTACTTTTTCACATGAGAAAACATCAAGTGTTTACATAGTCAAAACCTTTGTTTTCTTCTTTAGGCATTATGTTTATTGAGGATTTCCCCTCCTTGAAATGAGATACTGAGCCAAGTTTCCTTCCAGTTATTTCATTTCATACTTTAACCCACTCAAATTTTCTTTTTGCAGGATATGAATATGAGCTAGAATTTATTACTTCCCCCAAATATTTAACAAATAGTGCTAACTTCATATATTGAGTAATTCTTTTTTCTCCATTTATTAGAAGTGTAAACTTCACTATACACAAATAACTTGCATAATTTATTACAATATGAAACCAGAGCAAAAGAAAAAAAGAATTAAATCACCCATAATTCCATCATGCTGCCACCTGGTATTCTCCCTAGCATAGTTCATATCTTTGAAGAGGTGAGCTAAGGAGTCCTGATGAGTGACTGCCCTCCTCCCCCAGGATTCTCAGAAAGAAGCAGATAAGCTCTGGTTTGATAAAAATGAATCCTGTTTCCCACACATACACCCACATACACACATGTGCACAAACACACTTTATCACAGCTCCATGTACCCACGCATGCACATACACACAGCACACTCCCACATACGCATGTATGCACAGACATGCATGCATATTCACACATATATACACATAACTCACACACATTCACATACACATATACATATTCTCATTATTGTGTCCCTAGGGGTCAGGACAGAAGCCAAACTGTTTCCCCACCCTGCACAGATCAACAGCTCTGGAAGGCTGACAGTGGAGTGTGGGGGTGGGCAGAGGGTGTGCGCTCTGCCCAAGTTCATCCAGCTGAGGCTTTGGGAAGCTAAAGAACTCTATTATAATCTAAAAAGTCCTTTTCCCCCATCTGCCCTCCCCCAGTTGGTTCAGGAAGCAACCTGAGTAACCCAGGAGCTCTAAGTTCAATAAGCATTTTTTCAGAGTAAAGAGCCACTGAGTATTCAAAAAGCACAATAATCAAAAGATGATTTCTCACAATTGGCTCCCTGCAAGTGGCCCATGGGCTGGTTCTCAAAACAGAAAGAGCCCCAGCCACACACCTTTGCCAGCTACACACCGCTTACCTGAGCACTTAACCTCTACCTAGATGCCTGGACACTATAATTTCCCCCAAGGCAGGTAGAACCCAGAGCTGACCCTTGGGTCTCTGTGGACAGCTCAGCAGGACCCCAGGTCTCAAAGGGACATCTGCCAGCTGCTTGGAGAAGCTTAGGGTGGCCCTGGATTCAGGTGCCCCTGAGGAAAGCCACTGCTCGGCCTCTTACTACCCCAGTGCCCAGCCCAGCCCTGGCATGTAGCAGAGGCTCTAAATCTGTTTGCTACCCAGCTATTAGAGGAATGAAGTCAGCCTGTTTATGCTGTGCTGACACAGAAAGATGCTCACTCCTATTTTCAGTGAGAAGGGAAGGCTGCAGGGTGAAGGAAATGTGTGAGTGTCTGTCTGTCTGTCTGACATCGGCATCTGATCTCTTAGAGTAGGTACTCTGGGGAAGAGAGGAAACCAGATGTCTACTTTCCACTTTGCTTCTGCTGTTCAAATGTTTTTAAATGATAACTATTAATTGCCCTTAAAGTACTCACAGTTAATTGACTAGTGGATCAGCAGATGAATTATAATACAAACAGAAAGAGATGACAGCCACTTGAGATGTCTGCATTTTCTACCTGCATCAAATTCCTTGATTCCTTTTTTCCCCGTTACCTTTCTCTTTATCCAGCTGCTTTTCCAATAATTTTCTTTCCTCCTGCAAATGTGCCATCCAGTTTCCCTTTGCCATCTCTCAAAAGTAAATAAATAAATAAAACAAAACTGTGCACGTGCACATGCGCACACCACACACACACACGCATACACACACACACACACAAACGTGAACCCTGGAACCTAGATATAAGCTAGTTAAAATTTATATCCTAATACTGTTCCCGCTCGGGAGACATTATCCTTTATCTTCCTTTATTGACTTATTTGCAGTGACAAATATTAACCTAGAGCCAAACTTAGTAAACCACAATAAAATAATTTAATAAGGTTTTTGAGCTGTGAGTTATGATGCACTGTCCTCCTCTGATTACGGTATCCTTCTATGGTACTGAGCATTCCTTGGTCTTCTCTAAGAAAGTCAGTCTTTCCAACCCAGCCAGAAGACAAGGGAGTGGGAAATGGGCCCTTCACTGGCATAGAATCCCAGGCAGCTCACGGTTGCTGCTCATCTTTCTAATTCCTCCTCCTCCCTCCCAGTGGATTCTCCAGGGCCTTACTGCCATTCTCAAAACCAAATCCAAGTCCAAATTTCTCAGCATGGCATAGGAATCTGGCATGATTTGGCCTTGGCCTCTATCACTGACTTCATCTCCAGAATTTCTCCCCTTTTCCCATGTTGCAGCCACTTGGCCCTCTCCTGCCTCCAGCCCTTGGGCTCCCTCTGCCTAACCTTCTTCCTCCATTTCTTGGAAAGTCCAGCTCTTTCTTGCCATTCTATGTTGAGCCAACACACCCATTTGTAAAAGACATTTTCTATAATTACTCCATTATAAGACTGCCCCACTCCTTCCCACCCCTCCGATCTCCCTAACCAGTTTCATTGATTGCTATCCAAAATGATCTTATATATTTATTTGCTCTTTGACCATCTGTCTACCCTTGTCGAGCTAGAACATAAGCTCCTCAAGAGCACATAACCTGTCTATTTTGATCATTGCTGAACAGTGCAGGACTTAGAAAGTGCTAGGCTCCTAGGAGGTGCTCAATAAGTATTTGTCAAATGAATGACTAAATGGCTACTCAGCTCCAAGGGGTGCCCCTATCTGGGTCCTGGGGGAGGACTAGGCTGAATGTGTGCTGCTGTGATTACAGACGGAGTCCTTCAAGCTGAGTGAACCCTACAGCCAGTGCACGGAGGATGGGAGTGATGTGCCAATCAAGAACATTTACAATGCTGCGTATTCTCTCCAGGTACAGGCTGGAGGAAACACCCAGCCCTAGGCTGTGGCCTGGATGCAGAAGAGTCATATATAGGCTGGGGTGTGTCTGGGACCAGGAACTCTGGTGAGACTCCCTGGGCTTCATCCAAAGACCTCAAGAACAAACGATACCAACTGGTTCCAGTACTCTCCAATCCGTCTGTAACCAGAGCTTAATTGATCAATTGAGGTTTGCATAGTACTTGATGTACTATGCAGACAGACTGGCTTCCTAGACGGGCTTTGGCCAAGTGAGGACAGGAGGAAAGCGGTCTGGCAGAGGCCCTGGTTGAGGGGTGCAGAGGTTGGCTTCCCCACCCACTTGTGCCCCTCAGTTGCTGACAGCCTTGGGCAAGTTGTGTTATCCTTAGCAATCATAGTTGGAGGTTGATAGGATGGGGGCTGCTGATCGGCAGCTCCCAGGCCCCTTCTCAGCTGCATACCTGGTTTTTCTGGCCTGGATGGTGTTTGAAATTCAGAGAATTTCACAAGCACTCAGATTTCCAGCTTCTCTTGAAAAACAGGATCTGCCAACATTGGGACCATATTCCTGCAGTACAAATGGTGGAGGGTGTTGCCCCAGTAAAGGGGTGTGTGTTCTCCAGTTCCCCACAGCCCCCACCACCCCCTGGTGTCTTACCTACATCCCTGGTCCCTGTTGCCATTTGCATTTTCAGTGCTCAAGTGCTGTCGTGTTAAGCCTCATCTCACATACTGGAAGCCTGCAGTTTGCCTCCTACTGGGTTACCCAATCAATGGCCATCATCCCAGCAGAATAAAAGGACCAGGCCCTCCTCTGCACTGAGTCCTCTAGTTTTCATCAGAGCTGAGTTGAGAGGTAGTAGAGACACTGAATGAAAAGAGACTCAGAGAATGTCTACTTGTAAGAAATAGACCTACAATCACACTGACTTCAAGACCAAAAAAGAAAAGGTTGGCTCATTGGAAAGACACTCCTGGATAATATTCAGTGAGAGGCTACCCTGTATAAACACTTTACATATATTGATTCATTTCATGCTCACAAGAACCTTGTGAAGTAGGTACTGTTGTACTTATTTCAAAGAGGAAGAAACCAAAGCAGCAGAGAGGTTAAATACTTTGCCTGAGGTACACAATTCGGAGGTGGCAAACACAGGACTTGAACTTAAGTAGCCTGACTTTTTTTTTTCCCAGAAACCCTGCCATTAGCTTTTGTGATACAAGCTTCATAGATACTACAGTAGCTTAGGTCCCCAAGGACCCAGCATGGAGAACTTGGATTTAACAACCGGAAAGCTGGGGCTGTGCTTGTTTCTCTCTGATTCTTGGCATCTATTGCAATTTGCCCACTTAGCTCTGTGTCAGTAGTCACATAATGGAAAATGACCACCTCAGCCCCAGCCCCAGCTGAGCCTGGTCTCCAAGTCTTAGTTAGTCCAAATTCTCAATATATTTTCTAGCTTGGTCCCCTTGGAGTCAGGAGACCACCCCTGGCCAATCAGCTGCAACATGAGGGGCGCATGTATGCAGAGTGCCAAGGCAGAGGGAGGCTGACCCTCTGGATGAGGGATGTATGGGGAGGCAGCTCTCTGGCATCCGTGTGCACAGAGGTTAAGGGAACCCCTGGGTTTCCTCTTTCAGATCTGCCTGCATTCATGCTTCCAGACAAAGATGGTGGAGAAATGTGGGTGTGCCCAGTACAGCCAGCCTTTACCTGCAGAGGCCAACTACTGCAATTACCAGCAGCACCCCAACTGGAGTGAGTGAGACCTGCCCCTGCTCTGTGCACCCCAGGAGTGGCATCAGCCCAGTCGTAGTGCCACCCACCCATGGCCTTTTGCCTGAGGGTGCTAGTAGGCAGATACTGACCAGAGTTTTAGTCCTCTGTCATCAAGCCCAGGTGGAATTATACTTTCTGATTAAGGACCAAATGCTACATCCCAGGCTGTGCTAAGGGCTTGACCACCTCCGCCAACTCTAGGAAATGGGAGCTATTGATAGGACCTTTTTACAGAAAAGGCAACTAAAACTCAGAAAGGTTAAGCAACTTGTACAAGGTTGCACAGCTAGAGAGTGATAGAGCTAGACCCAAAGCAAAGGCTACCAACCCCCCAGCTCAAGTCCTTAAGCACAGCAGTACTATCCCCCAAGGCCACAAAGCAGCACTGGTTTCCAGAGAACCAGTGTTTGTAGGAAGTGGGAGAAGAAATCATTAAAAGGAAATGATGGGGGCACTGCTGGAGACCCTCAGGAAGGACCCCACGCTCACACTGCCGTCTGCCTTGTCCCACAGTGTACTGCTACTACCAGCTGCACCAAGCCTTCGTCCAGGAGCAGCTGGGCTGCCAGTCAGTTTGCCGGGAGGCCTGCAGGTGAGTGTGTCTGAGGGATGGGGAGGCAGGGCGAGGTGGGGCCAGGCCACCCATGCTCACTCCATGCCCTTCTCCCCTCAGCTTTAAGGAGTGGACACTGACCACCAGCCTGGCACAGTGGCCATCTGGAGTGTCCGAGGTAAGTTCTTCTGCCTTCCCTTCCCCCTCAAGTCCTCAGCCCGGAGCCTAAAGTCTGGCTATGTCCTTTGGCCTCAGGGGTGATCCACAGGGGAGGCCCCAGTCAGGGGGCTGGGCCTGAGAGGGAGGCACACAGGCTGGCCCTGGCCTCTCCAGACACCCACACGCCACTTCTCTCTCCATCACAGAAATGGCTGCTGCCCGTTCTCACTTGGGACCAAGGCCGGCAAACGCACAAAAAACTCAACAAGTAAGCAGACCTCCACCCTGTCGCTCTGCCCCTGCTGGCCCTCAGCCCCAGCCTCCTCGCTTGCTTCCTCATTACCAAACCTTCTCCTTTTCATTCATTCTTTCCTTTGCTCAACAAATACTTACTGAGCCCATCTCATAAGCCCAGGCTCTGCTCTAGGCTTGGTGCTTTCAAACATTTTGAGCATGACCCACAGAATGAAAAGATTTTCTCCACTGTAGCCCATTGAGCATATAACCAAAATAACAGTCTGACGAAACAGTACTTCCTTATAATGTACAACACGTTCAGGCTGATTTTCAGATGGTACACACTAGGATGGCCCAGTCGGTTATTTACACCTATCCATTCCATTTGGTCACAGCATGGTTCTGGATCATTAGTGTCCACTTCCATTGATAAAAATTCTGACTATCTTTGTGGATGCAATCTGATGATTTCCTATTCTGCTTTACTTTGTAAAAAGCCCTGTGTTCATGGCTCAGTAGACTTATTTCATGGCTTCCTGATATATCTAGACCCAGGTGGATAAATACACCTCTGAGCCGTTGCACCTTCTAATTCCACTTGAATTTTCCACTTTGAAATTCACTTCCAAGGGAACTTTAACAAAAAAGTTAGCCAGGCCAGAGTTCAGGGACCTTAGGAGTTGGAGACAAAGTTGGGAGAGGGGAGGGGAATTGCATGTGAACTCACATCTTTCTGAGACATGACCATCTCCACCGTGTCCAACACTGGGCCGGCGTCAGTGGCAGCCAGTCTGGCCTCCAACATTTATTGAATATCTACCAGCTACCAGGTGCATGTGAGGCACTGAGGGTACCATGGTGACTGAGCAGACATGATCCCTGCCCCCAGGGTACTTACAGTCTAGTGACCAAGGTAGACGGTGACTATGTGATCACAAATGGTAAACGGATGACCCCTAGATCAAATCTAGCTCCATAAAAGTGACCCATTATTTCTAGCTTTTCCTGAAAGATCAAAATTTCTGGCAAGGGCCAACCTCCATTCTTGCATAGCACCAAGAGCTGAGTGATAGTTTCCCTTTGGAATGTGCATGAACTTTCCAGCTTGCCACCGTCCTATCAGGAGGCAATTTAGTATAGTATTTAAGTGCATGTACTGTGAAGCCAGATCTATCCAGGTCTGAGTCCTGGCTCTGCCAGTTATGGACTGCGTAGTCTTGGACAAGTTACTTAACCAATTCATGTCTTAGTTTCCACATCTATAAAATGGGGATGGTTAAAACAACTACTTCACAAGGTTGTTGTGAGTGTTACATGAGTTAGTTCACATAAAGTTCTTGGAGGAGTGCTTGGCAAAACAGGAAGTGCTACAAATAAATGCTATTATTATGTTTATTATCATTACTACCTTATAACCTGCCTACTTTGCTCATTTACATGAACTGTCTGTCTCCTGTACGTATTTGAGACTGCAATCGACCATCATGACGTCAAGGTTTAATGAAGAAAGGTTGCTATGGGAGTATAGCTGGGTGGACTGATTCTGTCTGAAGGTTAGGAAATGGTTTTTGAGTGAATGAATAGCCTGAGAAACCAGGTCCAGGCTGGAGATGTGCTCTGGAGTGCAGAAGGAGCCCTGTGGTCCAGGTTCCAAGACACCCGTGGAGCCTGGGCTGTGCTGGGGGCTGGACAGGAGGGAGGCAGCCATGCTGAAGGGCTAGTCATCTGGTAGACTGCAAAGGCACCCAGTTCACCTTGGCCCTGTCTGTTGGAATTTCTGCAGGACAGACTTGGCCAAACTCTTGATATTTTACAAAGACTTGAACCAGAGATCCATTGTGGAGAGCCCTGCCAACAGCGTGAGTGTCTTCTTTCTGGGGCCTGTCCTGGGTCTGCAAATGTGCCCATCTGCCTGGCCTTGGGGAGCAGAGTCAGATCATGGGGATCCAGCCTGAACTGGGGAGACCACCATAGGCCAGCCAGGCCTCAGATCAGAGCGAGCAGAGAAAGAGGGGACAGGAAGCCTGCCCACTTCTTCCTCCAAACCTGTTCAGGGCCAGGGCTACCCAGGGGCTCCCTTCGGAATCACCATCTCTACATGAGGCCAGCTCGGGGGTCCACCAATGGCAGAAAGCCAAGGGGTGGTGGGCCCGGAGGCAGGCTCCCCCCAACCTCGGGGGCCAGGACAACCCATCCCTCCAGATAGATGATGACTTGCCCACTTTCACCTCTGCTTTGCGCCTGCCTCCAACACCAGGGGCACAGGTGCCTGGCACACCGCCCCCCAGATACAATACCTTGTGCTTGGAGAAGGCCTTCTCCGACCAGCTCACAGACACCCAGCTGCCAGCTGAGTCCTGAGGCAGTGTAGGGAAGGAAGATCTAGCCAGGACCACCAGCCATGGTCTCAGAATTTAGACCCTGTTTCCTTGCAAAGGGGACCCTCTGCACCACCCCTGGACTTTTCAGAGACATTGACTAAAAGTCTGCTTTGAATAAGATGGGGCCTGGGTGTGTGCAGGGGACCTGCGGGGCCCTGCCCAGCAACACTCACAGCCATCCAGGATGAGATAAATCCTGTGGCCCAAACCCTCAGTGCGTCTGCTGTGGAGAGAGATAGGGGCCGAGGAAATGGTGCCAGCCTAGACAAGGGTCAGAAGTGAAGCCTGGCAGAGTTCTTTACCACATCTTGAGAGATAAAGACTTCTCTGAAGCCCCAGACTGGGAGTTTCATCCACTCCCTCCAGCCTGGGCTGGAGCCCATAGATGTGACCTTAGGTGTCAAGACCAGAGAACTGCCACCTGGTGCCAAAGAGAGGAGGAAGCACCGGGTCAGGAGCTGGAGCTGTTTGTGCACAAACTGTTCTTAGTCATGACTTTGGGGCAAGGTCTCTGTGCCCTCAGGCAGGGAGCTGGCCAGAGATCCTTGGAGTGAGTTGGAGGGGAGGGGCCCCAGGGAGGGCGGTCTAGGGGTGTAACAGTAAGTCCTCACTGTGGGGCCATATTCCAGGCAGCTAAGCCAAGGCCCTGGACTCTTTGCCCAAGTAGAGAAGAGCCAGGTAAAGAGCACTGCAAGGCACTCCTGCCCAGTGGTAGTCCAAGGCATAAAGTATTGTCTCCTGATAACCCACCTCGACTGCTCTTCCTCTAAGCAAACCCTCCCACCACCAATGACCTCCCTCTCACTAACAAGCCAACCACAGCAGGCAACCACTTCCCACCATACTCACACCTTCCAACATGATCATAGCTGATGTTTTATGCACATAGTATGTGTTCAGTGTCCTCCTAAGAATGGTGTGCTGGGTGCTGTTCTAAGCACTTCCAGAGGTTATCGTAGCAGACTGCAGACTGCAACCCACAGGCCAAATCTGGGTTTTGCTCATTTCCTAAGAATGTGTTTTTTTTTTTACTTCACTTTTAAATGGTTAAAAATATCAAAAGAAGGCCAACTTGTGATTCATGAAAATTATATGAGATTCAAATTCCAGTGTCCACAAATAAAGTTTTATTGAAACACAAGCACACCCATTCATTTAGGTATTGTCTAAGGCTGCATTTGTGCTATAATGACCTGCCCAGTTGAGCAGTCACAACATAGACTATGGCCCACAAAGTCTAAGATATATTTATTCTCTGGCCCTTTACAGAAAAAAATCTACCAACCCCTGGATTAACACATTAAATAGGTAAGATTAGCCCATTGTAGGGATGAAGAAATTGAGACACAGACAGACTAAGTTACTCAACCAAGGTGACACAGCTAGGAAGTTGCAGAGCTGGGATTCAAACCTAGGCAGCCTGACTGCAGGGCCTGCACACTTTATCACTCCATCACTTTGCATCCAGTCAGTGCCTGTGCTTTTAAGGGTGAGGCTCATGTTAGTTTGGGTGCTAAGAAGGGAAGGCTGGACACCTGGCTGTAGGGCAGAAGGAAGTCCTTCAGCCGTATGTGGGGAGAGGCCTGCATTTCAGGACTCCTTCCCACACCAGGATGGTGCTAGCAGAGGCAGGAGTTGGTAAAAGAGCAGAGGCTGTGTGACCCTTCCTGGACCCTGCCTGGGCCCTACCTAGTGAAGAAACTATCTTCACAAACACAGTTGAGCCCCATGCAGCCCTATGGCTGCTACAGCCATCCCTGCCCCACGCGGTGGTTCCACGGGACCTCATGGGGAGGGGCGCTGCAGGGAGGCAGAGTAGCCAGCAGGGAGGAGGCCAGCCTGACCTCAGGCTGGTTGGAGCTCCCCTGAGGAGTGGGCTCAGAAGCCGGGGCTGGTGCAGGCAAGCGTCAGGTTACTGAGGGTGAGCCTGGCTCCTGGCCCTGTCGGGCTGGGGTGGCTGCGGCCAGTGCCGACAGGGAACTGACAGTGGATTCCTACCTGGGCACTGCCCAGAGAGAGGTTCCTCCTCCTCCTCCAAGGCAGGAGGGGTTGGGACCTGGCCCTCAGATTCGTGGAATTGACCAGCCTCGACATTATATCACAGGCAGGGACATTTTCAGCAAGGCTGGGCTTGCTGCCTGCTTTGTCAAAGGAGAGGCTGTGAGCACCTGTGGAGCGCACTGCCACCTATTTCTGCCCCAGGGAGGACACATACCCACACCCCATGGCTCCAGCTATCTCCCTCTGGGCTGTGTGCCTGCAATGCCAAATGCTGCCCTCTCTTCTCTTCCACTCATCCTTCCAAGCCAGGTACAAATGTCACCACCTCTTTAAAGCCTCGCCCTACCTTCCCTTGCTCCAAGAAGCTGGCACTTGCTCCATTATAGAATGTTCATCCCCTGATATAATTTTTTATCCATTTGTCTGCCTCATTAAATGGTGACCTCTTTGATGGCAGGAATTGTGTCTTATCTCTTTGTACCCAGGTTAGGACAGGACTAAGTACAGTGATGGCATTTAGGAAAAGTTTGTGAAGTTAATTGAAACAGTAACAATCATAATGATGGCTAATATTTATTGAGGACTTACTGTTTGCCAGGGATTCTGCTAAGCACTTCACACATATCAGCTCATGGGGTTCCCACAGCCAGATATTCTTACAAACAAGGAAACTGAGGCACAGAGCATTCTTTTCATGGGCCCCTGGCTAGTAATTGGTGGACCCAGACCCTCCTCCAGAGCTCGCTTGCTTACCCACCATGCAAACTGCCTTTCAGATGGGAGCTTTTCCCCGGAGGCCAAGTCCACCTGCTCCTGAGGAAGTTCCCCCCGTCCCCCAGTCTACTCAGCCAAGAGGCCCTCCTGTACCAGGAGCTGAGGACAGGGGAGAACCACCTCATTCCCAGGCCCTTTGGATAAGCAGCCACCATGGCCAGGAATTACTGACCCCAAGGACATACTACATTTGTAGTCATGGGAATGTTTGCTCTTGATGCGCCCTTGCTTTCACAAGCTATCTAAGTTGCCGCCCTCACTGCCCTTCCGATTTCCCCTCCAGGCCCCTGGGTCCCAGACCCAAGTGTCCCACCACTCATGGTATGCCTCTCTGATGACAGAGACACCTCAAACTCAGCATGCAGTCTGTGGGCCTGCACCCCAAGGGGAGATATCGGATAATCACCCCAATCTCTTCTGGGATTGAAAACTGAGGTCTGGGCTGGACAGACATACATGGGAAACCCATTCTCTTGCCCTTTCTGTCCTCTAAAATGGCATTCCTTGGCTCCTGGCCCCTTCCTCCCCCTTCAGAGCTAGCAGACCAGCATCTTGCTTCCCTTACCACATTGCCTTCTTCTTCTGATGCAGCCAAATCTCCTCTGCCTCCTCTTCCTAAGGATGCTTGTGATAACTTTCAGGGCTCACCAGATAATCCAGGATAGCCTGCCCATCTCAAGATCCTTAACTTAATCACATCTGCAGAGCCTGCACTTATGCCCTAGAAGGTGACATGCACAGGTTCCAGGAATTAGGATGTGGCTATTTTGGGGGTCCATTAATCAGCCTCCCAGAGGTGGGTACTACAGACAAGCATGGCTATAGGAGTGGAGGCTGCATTTGTGAGTCAGGCAGACGAAACCCCTGCCCTCATGGAATTTACACATCACTTCAGAGAAAGATGGACAGTAAAACCAGACAGTAAAAAGAATATGTAAATTACATAGCCTGTCAGAAGATGAGAAGTGTTACAGACAAAAGGAAATGCGAGGCAGGGTAAAGGAGACTGGGAGTCTGCAGAGGGGGCCAGGTGCTGTGCTATTTAGTCAAGGGAGACCTTCTTGCAACAGTGTTATCCGAACAGCTTGAGGGAGTCATTCACAGATATACTGGGGAGAATATTCCAGGCAGGGGGAAAAGTCAGTGGTAATTAATGAAAGAATTTCCTCTTAAAATAAATGTGCTAAGAGGGGGCTCTCTTGTCCTCTCCTCACATGAGCCAGGAGCTCTGTCCTCTCACTTTTTCTCTAAATAAAAATCTCTGCCTTGCTCTCCTAAAAAAAAAAAAATGATAATAATAATAAAATAAAAATAATGAAGAAGAAAAAAAAGGGGAAAAAATAAAATAAATGTGTTTACAATGGAATATTATTCATCCTTAAAAAGGAATGAAGTACTAATAGACGCTACAACATGGATGAACCTTGAAACTTTATGCTAAGTGAAAAAAATTGGATACAAATATTGTTATGACTCCATTTATATGAAATACTCAGAATACATAAATCCATACAGACAAGAAGATTAGTAGTTGCCAGGCGCTATAGGGAGGGGAGAATGGGAAACAACTGCTTAATGGGTGTGGGGTCTCCTTTGGGGATGATGGAAATGTTCTGGAACTAGATAGACGTGAATGCCACTCAACTGTCCACTTTAAAAAGGTTAATTTCATCTTACGTGATTTTTACCTCAATTTTTAAAAAATCAAAAATAAATCTATTTAAATGAAAAGAGTGAGTTAGCTTAAAGAAAAATGATAAGTGAAACTAAAGAAAAGCAAAATGCCCTGATGATAGAAGTCAGAATAGAGGAAATTTCCTGGACACAAGAGTCGAGGTAATCAAAGGTATAAAAACTGGCTGCAGATATTGATTTCATCTTAAATGGGGGTACGAACATGGGTATTGACTTTCCTGTTTTTATAAACCACATATAC